AGCAGACAAGTTAGTGCACTAGGTGACAAGTGATTCACCGCTTGAAATTTTACTGACTAAATAAATTTAAAAAAAGTGCAAAAAAGTACTCGCACTGGGTTATGAGGGATTGACCGCTTAGGACATTATTTACTTTTTAAATAAACGAAATTACGATAAAGTTAGCTTACTTTATCATTGGGAATTTGCCACTTGCAATTTTGTTTACTCAATAAACAAAAAAAAGTGTGGCCAAGTAAGCTCACTTGGTCATTGGAGATTCTCTACTGAAGAAGTGGTTTTTTTTATAAATTAACAAAAAAGCGGACAAGTTAATTCACTGGATTATTGGGGATTTGCCGTTTAAGATGTTGCTTACTTAATAAATTAACAAAACTGCAGACAAGTAAGCGCACTGTGTCACTGAATATTGACTGCTTAGAATTTCGTTTCTGTAACAAAGAAGCTAGAATGAGAACTAGCAAGCGCCCTGAGTTATTTGAAATTGTCTGATGGAGATAAAGCTTTCTTCGCGAATAATTAAGGGTGCGGAGAAGAAGGCTCACTAGACCATTAGAAATTGGTCCCTTAAGATTATGCTTACTTAATAAATAAACTAAAGTACGGACAAGTAACCGCATTGGATTCCTAGGGATAAGCTGGTTGGGATGTTGTTTACTTTAAAAATACAAAAAGTGTGGACAAGTAAGTGCACTGTATTTCTGGAGATTTTCCGCTCAAGAGTTTGTTTACTTAATAAATAAATGAAAATACGGACAAGTAAGTGCTTCAGATAGTTGGGAATATGCTATTTGGAATTTTTTTTATCCTATAAATAAACAAAAGTTGAGGCAACCAAGCGCCCTGGGTTATTGGGAATTAACTACTTGGGATTACGTTTATTTAATCGATTAACAAATGTGGTGACAAGTAAGCGCCTTAGATCACTGAAGATTGACCAACTTGGGATTTGGTTTGTTATACGAATCAACAAAATTTCGGACAAGTCAGTGCACTGAATCGTGGAGAATTGACAGCTTAAATTTTTGTTTATGTATTAAAAAAAATATACGTGCTGACAAGCAAGTGCCGTGATTTATTCAGGATTGTCTGCTGGAAAAATTTGCTTCGTTTATAAATAGATGAAAACGCGGACACGTAAGTGCTTTGGGTAATTGAGAATTTGCCGTTCTAAATTTTATTCATTCCTTAAATAAAGAAAATGTCGGACAAGGTAGCGCACTTTGTATTTAGGATTAACTGCTTGGAATTTCGTTTATTTAATAAATACACAAATGCATGAACAAGTAAGCGCACTGGGTTATTGGGTGTTGACCGCTTGATATTTTGTTTTTTATACAAAAAACCAAAAGTCCACACAAATTAGCGCATTTGATCATTGGGGATTGACTGCTTAGTGTGTGGTCCATTTGATAAATAATTAAAAGTGCGGACAACTAAGCACACTTTGTTGTTGGGGATCATCTGCTTGACATTATGCTTACTTAATAAGCAAATAAAAGCGTGGACAAGTAAACGCTTTGAATTAGTACGGATAAGCCGCTTGAGATAGCGCTTATGCAATTAATAAACAAAGGTGTGGACAAGTAAGCAATTTGAGTTATTAGGGACTAGGCGTTTGGGTTTGATGTAGTCGGGCTTTGAGTATATCTTCGAGTTTCGGACTTTCTAACGACGTGCTAATGCTTGGCCAATCAGAGGTCGGTTGCACTCAAGCAAATGAACGAAGATTTACATGTATATATACAGTCTACTTATTTGTCCCCTTGTTAGCCTGTGTCTAAGAACAGAAAGATGCACGCGTACTTAGATGACAGAGCTAATAAGTATATACACAGTTTATTGTAAAAGCCTTTCCTTAAAGCAAATAACTACAAAGCTAGGGCTAATAAGAGTGTTACTTGATATAAGAGTCAGACTTGACGTAAGCAGAATAATCGAGCAGTGCTGCTGCAGCAACAAGAGAACAACGTCTGTATATCAGTAAATAGCTCAGTCAGCGTATGATATTTTTAACGAAATGGCTTAAAAGACGTTTTTTTAGCTTTTCCAGTTAGTCAGTTTACATTTAACTTCAGAATATTAATACCATAGCTCAGTTGGCTATGATAACAGAACAGTATAAAATTTGAATCCTGCTTATAATTGTACATTCTTCTTTGACTTCTTGTAGATTTTCTGTGCCCTTAAACACTATATTTTGCATTTTTGCTGCACGTTTATAATATAAATGATTACTTACACTAATACAAAATTCCAATAAATACAATAGCCTGAGTCAGAAGATCCACGAATAACATTATACTGAAACAGTGAAGACTGTACTAAAAAAGACCTTATTTTATAAATCTTTGTGTGTATCTCAAATAATGCCTATTGAAAGGTTTGTTAAATTTTTGTGAGCACAACGTTTTTGACACAAGGCTGTAGTTCAAAGGATACAAATATTTTTAAGAGTGAATCAAATGAATACTCAACCAACACTTATACCTGACACTTTATATCGAGTTTCAAAGTATACCATGAGTGTGTTAAGTATTAAAAATAATTATGGGCCGCTCCATCTAATTTGTCTGGGATAGAGTCTTGTGACTATGTCATATTTCACAAACTCTTACTAACGTGCACGGAAAGACCTTTTTCATTGAAAATCCCCTACTACATTCAGTTACGAGTTTTTAATAGCTTGGTAAGGTTTTTTCCCGTACCAGGTCCGTCTAAAACCTACGCTCGAAAATGTTGGACATGTGAAGACTTCTTCTACTGGCAAATTAGATTATATTAATGCTAGGTACGGTATTTTCTTTCTATTGTCTCACTAAAAATCCTCTACCACATGAAGTTATGTGTTTGTCATAGCTTGGTAAGGATTTTTCCCGTACCAGGTCTACTTAAAACCTACACTCAAATACGTGAGTATTAGGTTATGTTATTTTACTGTTAGGTATACTGTATATTTACTCTCCAAGTATGTATATCAGTGTCAGATTTTAAGAGGCTTACTATACAGACACACGTATGCGCTCGCGCGCGCGCGCGTGTGTGTGTGTGTGTGTGTGTGCGCACGCGCGCTTGTATGTATGCATTTAAAAATATATAATAAGTACTGCTCTGCGCACTATAGTACGTCGTATACACTGACTGGGTACATCTACTTTTCACGGCTACTGATGGTAAGGGAAAAAACCGTACCACCACCAATAAATAGTCGTACTGATGTCCTAAAATCAGTATACTCAGTAGATAATTTAAGATCACTAAAGGTGAGACTAAAAATTTCTGTGTAAGTAAGCAATAAATATAACGTTGGTCTAGTACTTCTTGTGATCAAATATTGGAGTAGGGGATTTTAAATGAAAAAGGTCTTTCCGTGTGGTGAAACAAATCGTGTGGTTTTTTTTATAATAGGTTAATTAGATAAATTATTCAAAGTGTAAATCAGTCCCTTAGTGACAGTGTTCACTGTCACTAATAACTGAACCTTATTGTGTTAAGTAAATGGCGCCAACAAAAGTATGGTGAAAGCTGAGCTTAAAAGGCGCCAGGGAAACTTGGTCCTGATTTATAAATGTATTCGTGTATCCGTGTAAGCGTCTTATATAATATATACTATTCATCGATAACGTGAATCGTCAAATTCCTTGATAGTATCGCCCTACACACAATTTTACACACTTAGACAGATACACTAATACGTCCATAAATCAGGATTCAGTGGCCCTGGCACCCTCTAGATTTAGCTTTCATTATACATTTCTCATTATAATCTAACAGAATACCTCTCCAAAATACAAAAAAAATTTCAGGTTATTAGAACTGATTTTATACTATGTCATATAGACATTTTATTATTGCTTTGAGATATTTTTAAGAAGTAAGTAAGAACTAAATAGGCAAAGTTATGTAATTTTACTGCAAAAAGTTTATTCAGAAACCATGGTTTACTTTAGCCACGTGATTCATAGGAAAATATAAGAAAAAACTCTGAAAGATAACATGAAGGTTTCATTAGGTTTTTGGTCCGATGTTCGTAAAATAAGCTAAAATCAACCTACTGATGATGTGCGCATGTCATTAGGTTTAGTATAAAGAAGTCCTATTATAAATGTAAGACAATGAGCACAAGTTAAAATTGTTAAAAACTTGTAAAAATAACGATCTTAGGTTATTTATAATAATGGCTTGTACATAAAATTAGGAAGCGACATGTGTCGTAAGCCATAAAGAAACTTCATTTTGAGAATAGGTTTTGTTTGTAATGTACATTGTGCACATACTTGTATGTACAATTTTAGACTGTGTATTATCTATATTAACAAACTTGGTAATTTCAATCTTTTTTTTTTTCGAATTCTTATAAACACTTTCCAAGAAATTTTAATTTTTCAATGTATTTTCTTCAACTATTGAATTGAAATATGTACATTAAATCACGATTGTAGAAGACAACCACACCGATATTTAATTATTCCTGAGAGCTATACAAAGTACTTGATTGCACTTCCACGTTCTATGATTCATTTATTAATACTCGTACCATTTTAAATAAATGAATCAAGTAGGAATAAATTTGTCATTTTACTTCTGCACTTTGTTACGATAGACATGAGAATTTTTCTTGGTCAGAAAAAGTATCCATTTCTCACATTACAAAGAAAATTTCCAGAATTGTGAATCTTCTGAGATAAATAATTATTAAAATAAATTCTTTGTAACACAGCGTTCGTTTATGGATAACTTTATATTATATTTCATTAGAATGTTATTATTTGTAATAGAATTTATCAAAGTGTTATTAAAAAAACGCTTGCTGCAAAATTTTTATTGTTCGAAAAAGTAATTTTATTTTTTATGCAGCGCTATGTTACAAAGGTCTACTATACGACAGATATTCATAATTCTGAAATATGTTTTAGTAAAGATAACAAAAATAAAAACGGTAACAATGCATTAATAAATCAATAAAAATAATACTAAAAGAGAATTTTCGTATGTTGCAGCTGACAAAGGAGCCAAGCTATTATTCTACGTACCGTTAAGCTTGCTGATTTGCATGAATCTGGTATTAGTTGTACGAATAGCATTAGAAATCATAAAATTCCAGCGAAAGATAGAACTGCGCCAATTCGCTAGTAATATCCAGTCAGTGCACAAAGAGCGTTGGTTGAAGCACATTGTCTTCTTATGCCTTGGTCTATTTTCTCTTATGGGCATCAACTGGATGATTGAGCTTGCATCGTGGTGGGTAGGTAGCAGTTGGCATGCTTGTTCGGCGTTCGATATTATTAATGCGCTCCAGGGCACTGTCGTCTTTGGACTTTTTGTGATACGATCACCACTTCGAACAATAATCTGGTACAATCTTGTACGCAGATTTGAGGATCAACGGGCATTTCAAGATTCAGATGAACCTTAGAACACGACTATTAATGTCTTAGGGTCATGGATCTCACAGACACATTAGCAAAGAAGTTTACTAGCTAACTTTACAGCCGCAATCACCATTGTTACCGTGAACTTATACAGTGGAGAATTTTTGTAAAGTGGACTTGGAGAAGTTTTTCCTGTACTTCACGTCCTTCTTGCCTACTTCTTAAATCCTTTTACTTCCTTTTTATTTTACAGGTACTACTAGGTATATGCTCACATGTTTTTCCTAAATATATTACCTATAAAATACATTATCTAATCGCAAAAAAGCTTTCCATTAATGAATCAAAAAAATTTTTTTTAGACATTTATGACATTTATGATTTTTCTAACAGATTTTTGCCAAATTTTTTTGCATATTATACATCAAAATTGTTTTGTAATGTCGTCTTATTTTATGTGTTTAGTAAAATAGTTTTCTTCGAAGTAACAAATATGTATTTCATATATGCAATAATTTTAAATATTTTCCATCTTGCACATATACAACTTTTGCCTCGACTTTTGCCTCTATTGAAGCTTATATACCTTAACAGTATTGAAGAATAATAAGTTCTCTTACTTTAAATCTGGTACAGAAAACAAAGTAAAAATGACTGCTCTCAACGTTTTGAAGGGAAATAACACAAAAAAATTTATATCAGATGTCAAGCAAAGTGATACTCAGTACAATCTTTGTCTTTCAAATTTCATCTCAAGGCAAATAATTTAACAATGAGTTCATTAATATAAAGTCTGCAATTAAAAATAAGTGTTTGATTAATTTATTGGATTACAAAACGTTACTCTAAAAGGTTGGCAACAAACATGGCAATATGTAAGAAAATTATATTTACATATAAATACTAATACACTCACGCACACTTAAACTTATCCACATTTAAATATTTCGTAGTTCTTTTAGTGTATTCGACAACAGCTTTTTCTATCACTCCTATCCACAAAATATAGAACAATTATAAAACAATTGGATTGATATTTCCTTAATTATATATAAGTTAAATTATTCTACTTTCCCCAGGTCCTGCCTTGTATAACTTGCCATGGCCATCTGCAATTACTTTGGTTATTAAATTATATAAGTTCAGGTAAAGTTTTGTCAACAGCTAAAGTGACTTAGAGAGTCACCAAGAAAAGCCGTAGTCCTCCGAAAGTGGTTGTAACATCTCGGCTTTATACAGACGAATCGTACTACAAAAACAACTGTATTACATTCATACAATATGTGAAAATTTATGCACACAAGCTCGTATGGTAAATGAAACTTGTGCATTACGTTACATACATATACATAAACCTTGAGTGACAACCCCCAATAAATAGATTTTAACTTTAAGTATAAGACTTTTTTCTAAAGTTACTACTTTTACTGTGTTGCTAACTATTATTTTATTACTTTATTTATAGTTATTGTAAAATAAATTTGAAAAAACTCCATAACAACATTTTCGTTTATTTTTTCATTTTATTTTTTGATATAAAACTTTATCACTTTATATTTACTTAATTATTCTAAAAATATTTTTTTACTATTCTTCATTATCTAGAAACAAACTTTTCTTCTTGATTGAGTTTTAAAAGTCTTAAAAATTATGATCACTTTATCAATAAATTTCATAAAAGGATCCTTTTTAAAAAAGTTCGAATAGTAATAGTTCTCTAATATACTTACTTTTTTATCTACGTAAACTTCATGTCTTTTTAGTGAATCGTTTCACAAAAATTTACTTCTACATTCTGAATATATTTCTAAGTTTTGAGGAGTGTGTATAAATATGTCACAAAATCGATATGTTTGTCTCTTAAACATTTTAGAACCTAAGAGACATTAAGATTTAGAGAAATTTGGACATTTAATTTGTCTAAATGTCTCTAAAACCATATGTCTCTTACAAAGACTAACGGAGCTCAGATTTTTCCATGTTCATTCAAATAGGAAAGTCCTAGCTCCGTTAGTCTTAGATACATTAAAAAAAATTTATTTCTGTGTTTTCTTTCATGAATCTTTAACCGCAGTATTAATACATGATAACGCTAAAGAAATTGCATTTCATAAAGACATGTTTAATTCAATGTATCTTCAGTTACATGGTGTCCAAAAAAATACTTTCAAAGTTATATGCATGCAAACTAATAAGATTTTTTTAAATAATTGTACTGGGAGATTGGAAAAAACCATTTTTGTACGGAACATCGATTTATTCCATTATTTCTCCCTATAAAAAAATGGTATCAATAACTTGAAGTGCCATTGCAACAGTATTGCTTCCAAAAAAAATAACCAGTCACAGAACCTTTAGTTTACCGTTGCACTTAGAAAATAAAGAGACTGTATTTTTAGAAATGAAATCTGAAAAATATGTTATAAGAAGTGGATTTAATAATGTAGGATGAGGTATCAATGATTCAAGAAAATGCCTTAGAAAAAGTACTTTTTGATTACTATTACCTTAAAACTATGTGGTGAAAAATTCTCAAAAAAATGTATGGGTTTCTTTACTGTCTAAGGTAGTTTTTAATAGTTTTTTAATTATTCATTTATATGCGGAAAGTTCCACTTTCTTAAATAATGGGGCTATGTAGTGTTTGCACCATTGCTCCAATGTTAAAAAAGTGATTTTCTGACGAGAATATTTCAATAACGACGTGGTAAATCGGTCTCAAATTTCTTACACATATTTCTCGACACTTACATTAGTTTTGCTGACAATTTCGTACCTTTTAAGATATTTTTGATATAGGAAACAACTACCTTAAGTAATCGTTTTTATAGAATTTTTTTCAGATTTTAAAGTAAACTACAAATACTTATTTGATGGATATAAATTATTTTAAAATATTATTAAAGATTGGAGAAGAAAAAATTAAAACATTTAAAATTCCCAGACATTCAAAAACGAATAATATACGTGGTGGCCCCTTTTAATTTGTGGATCTAAATATTTTGCCAGAGGTGCCACCCATTAAAAAATGACCTGAACAAAAGTTGCTTAGTAGAAAGGAGGACGTATAATGGTGACCTGAAATTTGACCTTAACCTCAATTTTTAAGGTCATTTTAAACTAAAATTATATTTTTCATGTGAAAAGCCCTATTTTTTATTTCGAATTCTGAAAAACTGCAAAGTTTTTAAATGGGAGCTTGCATCCATTTTTATAACCTTTGAAGATCGTTCTAAGGTCAAAATTCTTAAAAAATAACACAAAAAATTGTTGAAAGTTATATCATAGAAAACAAACTTTGGATGAACTTTAAGAATTTTTTATTTGTGTTTGTACTCCTTGAACCACATGGTGTGTTTAGTGACCGTTAGTCATCATATTGAAATTAAAATCCGTGCAATATGCCCGAATATCCCATTTGGAACAACAGAATTACAAAATTGTGCTAATTAAGGTTGTTAGTGTTCATGAAAAACCCTTTGATTGCCATAATATCTCAAATCCTGGTAAAACTTACAAACATCTAAGTAGTATTTCTTAATTGAAAAATTTTTCTTCGAGCCCTAATCTTACTTTAAGCGCTATCCCGACGTTACCCAGACCGCTGTTAATAAACCACATTTTCAAAATATTATCACATTTTTGTGGCACCATTATTCTTTTAACGATTTAATACACAGGATAGTTAAATAGTTAGCCGTTAAAAAAATATAGTAAAAAAAAATTGGGCACTCTCGTTAAAAGAATTAAATATCGCACTTTTCTGTACTGTTTTCTGCCTACTGCGTGCTGCGCATTTATCTAATGTATGTGATTATTTTAACTTCGTATAATCAATTTCACTTATTCAAGCCAGTCTGCACACAAGAATTTAAAATGACCTCTCAGTTTTGCAGTGATTTTGTTTCCAAACGTTATTAGCGCAAAGAAAATGTATTTTTATTGTAAAGGAAGTGCATGATTTTAGTGCTGTGCAGTTGCTTAAAAATTGTTCTACTTTTTTATATTATGTACAAAAAGCTTATGATACTTTATCTACGTACGTATAAGAGTGTGTTTAATAACAACTAATAAGTGCTGTTTAGTTTAGCAAACTTAAAATAAAAATAAAATTCAAACAGTCTTTTTGTTGAAGTGGAATTTTAAGAATGGCTGACAATCCTGCTAATGAAATTGTTGACTTGATAACGGTCTTAGTTCAATGGGATGATAATCATCGTATGGTGGCAAGGCGTTACGCTCAAACTTTTTCAGATCGAGGACATTCTAGCGATATGACTATACGCAGTGTAACCATCAGAGATCGACAGGGACACCTAATTCGCTAATATAGGCGTTGTGAATATAATGAAGAGAATACTTGTGTTCTTACTATTCTTGCAGAAGTTAATCTTCATCCTCACGTAAGCAGTCATAAAGTTAAAATAACCCAATATCCCAAAAAGAACATTCTTGAGAATTCTGAGAAGACTTAGTTATCATATTGATCACATTACACTTGTCCAAGAACTGAGACAAAATCACATTCAACTACGTATTCAATTTTGCCAATAGGCTTTACGAATTTTAAAAAATGATACACAATTGTTTTAAGTTTGTGCTTTTTTAAATGAGACTGAGTTTGGTAGTGATGGACAAGTTAATAGGCACGATTGCTATTATTGGTCGAATAAGGACCCCCACTGGCACAAAAGTGCAGACGTCAGTATCGATGGAGTATAATGGTATGGTGCGAAATTGTAAATGGATATCTTATCAGTCCTTACTTTTTTGAGCAAAATGTAAACGGTGCTAGATATTTGGAATTAATCAGACATTATTTGCCAGAGTTGTTAAAAGATGTTGATTTGAAAACAAGACGAAGAAATAGGTTTCAGCAAGACGCGGCGCAGTAACACATTTTTCACTTATACTATGTGCTTTTTTAAATCAAAATTATAATGGCAGCTTAATTGGCAGAGGAGGTCCAGTTGACTGTCCACCAAACTCACCTAACTTAACATCCTTAGATCTTTACTTACCAGATTATTTAAAAAATGTGGATTAGCAACATTGGCCCATAAATAGAGAAAATACACAAAACCGCATTCGTGAAGCATGTGCTGCAATTCCAACACAAACTTTGCTTAACACCGTGTGTCATTTTTGCAGGAGTTTAACGATGTGTTTGCAAATGAATGGAGGCAGCTTAAAATGTTTGCTCTATAATTTAAAAAATGACAGTAATGAGAAATCATCGTTCTTATTTTAACTGATGGAGAGAGGCAAGAGAACTGACAGAAAATAAGCCCCGCAAACGTAAGAGGCAAGAGGACTTACGGTAAATGAGCACTCCAAAAGAGAGAAGCAAAGGGACTCATGGTATTGAAATCAAAAGCTCTTCAGATTTATTTAATGTTCCACGTTATAGTTGATTTCTTTGAAAACGATATTTGAGCAACTAAAAATTTAACTAGTAATCTTAAACTAAATTAATTTATTTATGGAATTGTTGATTCTAGTCATAATATAATTAAGATTTTGAAAATTGAACAAACAATTTAATAAGGTCTACTATACGACAGATATTCATAATTCTGAAATATGTTTTAGTAAAGATAACAAAAATAAAAACGGTAACAATGCATTAATAAATCAATAAAAATAATACTAAAAGAGAATTTTCGTATGTTGCAGCTGACAAAGGAGCCAAGCTATTATTCTACGTACCGTTAAGCTTGCTGATTTGCATGAATCTGGTATTAGTTGTACGAATAGCATTAGAAATCATAAAATTCCAGCGAAAGATAGAACTGCGCCAATTCGCTAGTAATATCCAGTCAGTGCACAAAGAGCGTTGGTTGAAGCACATTGTCTTCTTATGCCTTGGTCTATTTTCTCTTATGGGCATCAACTGGATGATTGAGCTTGCATCGTGGTGGGTAGGTAGCAGTTGGCATGCTTGTTCGGCGTTCGATATTATTAATGCGCTCCAGGGCACTGTCGTCTTTGGACTTTTTGTGATACGATCACCACTTCGAACAATAATCTGGTACAATCTTGTACGCAGATTTGAGGATCAACGGGCATTTCAAGATTCAGATGAACCTTAGAACACGACTATTAATGTCTTAGGGTCATGGATCTCACAGACACATTAGCAAAGAAGTTTACTAGCTAACTTTACAGCCGCAATCACCATTGTTACCGTGAACTTATACAGTGGAGAATTTTTGTAAAGTGGACTTGGAGAAGTTTTTCCTGTACTTCACGTCCTTCTTGCCTACTTCTTAAATCCTTTTACTTCCTTTTTATTTTACAGGTACTACTAGGTATATGCTCACATGTTTTTCCTAAATATATTACCTATAAAATACATTATCTAATCGCAAAAAAGCTTTCCATTAATGAATCAAAAAAATTTTTTTTAGACATTTATGACATTTATGATTTTTCTAACAGATTTTTGCCAAATTTTTTTGCATATTATACATCAAAATTGTTTTGTAATGTCGTCTTATTTTATGTGTTTAGTAAAATAGTTTTCTTCGAAGTAACAAATATGTATTTCATATATGCAATAATTTTAAATATTTTCCATCTTGCACATATACAACTTTTGCCTCGACTTTTGCCTCTATTGAAGCTTATATACCTTAACAGTATTGAAGAATAATAAGTTCTCTTACTTTAAATCTGGTACAGAAAACAAAGTAAAAATGACTGCTCTCAACGTTTTGAAGGGAAATAACACAAAAAAATTTATATCAGATGTCAAGCAAAGTGATACTCAGTACAATCTTTGTCTTTCAAATTTCATCTCAAGGCAAATAATTTAACAATGAGTTCATTAATATAAAGTCTGCAATTAAAAATAAGTGTTTGATTAATTTATTGGATTACAAAACGTTACTCTAAAAGGTTGGCAACAAACATGGCAATATGTAAGAAAATTATATTTACATATAAATACTAATACACTCACGCACACTTAAACTTATCCACATTTAAATATTTCGTAGTTCTTTTAGTGTATTCGACAACAGCTTTTTCTATCACTCCTATCCACAAAATATAGAACAATTATAAAACAATTGGATTGATATTTCCTTAATTATATATAAGTTAAATTATTCTACTTTCCCCAGGTCCTGCCTTGTATAACTTGCCATGGCCATCTGCAATTACTTTGGTTATTAAATTATATAAGTTCAGGTAAAGTTTTGTCAACAGCTAAAGTGACTTAGAGAGTCACCAAGAAAAGCCGTAGTCCTCCGAAAGTGGTTGTAACATCTCGGCTTTATACAGACGAATCGTACTACAAAAACAACTGTATTACATTCATACAATATGTGAAAATTTATGCACACAAGCTCGTATGGTAAATGAAACTTGTGCATTACGTTACATACATATACATAAACCTTGAGTGACAACCCCCAATAAATAGATTTTAACTTTAAGTATAAGACTTTTTTCTAAAGTTACTACTTTTACTGTGTTGCTAACTATTATTTTATTACTTTATTTATAGTTATTGTAAAATAAATTTGAAAAAACTCCATAACAACATTTTCGTTTATTTTTTCATGACATGAGAATTTTTC